CAGTGTACTGCTGAGCCATAGCACCAGCCCTACTCTATCCTTTATTAAATCTCACCTAAAGTTTTAATCTTGTTGCTTGTCATTGTGGTATATTATGAAATACTTTTATTAATACTACCGTGCATAGGTTGTAGAGATTAATTATTGCCAGGTTAGTAAGTGGGACAGTAACTGGAGAGTCACAAAGCTAAATTCGGCTTGATGATCCTCTCTGGCTTTTGGGTAAGTGAAGGTCATGGGTAATTTTCTGGCATGGAAGGTTTTTACTGATGTACACATGCGTTGCTGTGTCCCTTCTGGTACTCAAACCAAGTCAATCTACCACCTTTTACCCACGGATAGTCGGAAAAATATGAGGCTTCCTTTGAAGCAGAAGGGTACGAATAGAATATTGAGCATTGCTGCTGTTGCTGAACATGTTGGTACTAAGTGGCCCATGGTCATCTAGTGAGCTTCACTCATAAACAACATTTGCTTCCAAATCTCTTTAAGTGAATGATGGTGAGAAGGATTCTCATCCTGTGATCAGAGAAGCTGAGGATCCCACAGACCTTCTAAGCCTTATACTATTGGCATTTTTCTTTTTTGCCAGATAATTCTTTGTTGTAAGAACTGACATATATATTAAGGCATTCAGTAGCATCCCAGAATTTGTGCACTGTATATATTAGTACCATATTCTCACCAACCCACTTTCCATTGTGATAAGGAAATCAGTATGCAGACATTGACAAATGACCTTTCATAGATGGAATTGCCTCCAATATGAGCCACAGGATCACTTAATGACCAAACTCAGAAAAGGGATTGTCTGTGTCTTCAACTACATTTAATGAAATGAGTATCCTTAGGGAGATTAGCAATGTATTAGTATAAAACTTAAATTTCTTTTCAAAAACTTACTAATATTTTTTGGTTGTAAATTCATTGAGGTTGTAAACTCATTAAGGCTGTATTTCCTATTTTTCAATTATTAAATGATTACTAAGCACAACTCCCATTATACTATTATAATCTAGCATTGGATATTAGTGAGATTATACCCTTATTAAGAAAATTAATGAAAAAAAAGATGGTACTCATTTTGCATAAATAATAAGATGTTAGTGAGTATAATTAGAACGGAATATGTGGTAGCATTAAAATAAAAATAAATATAATTTTTAAGATTCTTATATCTTGCTTAATGGTGTCAAGGTTAGAGGAAATGCTAGCAAGATAAAATCAAATTTATAAGGACATGTTTAAAGAAAAGTTTAAACAACGCAAGATTCCCATCCTTTTCACTTTGTATGTTCTTTGTCAAAACTCCTTAATGATACAACCATCCTGGTAACAAGGACTTTATCTTAGTAATTTCAAAATATCTAACATTTTTCTGATTTTAGGTATGAGGGTTATTAAATATTTATTCCAGTAACTAATGCTGACAATAAATCTCAAAGTTTATTTCAGAGTAATCTCATCCTATTTATTGTCCCTTCTTCAGTTCCACTCCAAAATATCTCTTCCCTGGAACATTGCTCTAATTTCTAAGTTATCATCCCTATTTTTTGTTTCCAATTTGACTCTTCACCAAGATGTACCCCAAACTGTATGGAAGATTTATTTTGGATAATGTAATTTCCTTCAAATAAACCCTCTATTGATCCTCTGTCAGCAACAGTAAAGTGTAGGTGCTTTAACTGTTAGTATCTTTTAACATTTTAATCTAGCATTTACCTATCATTGATTCTTCCTTTCCTGCTGTTTACTCACATGTTTCCTACTCCAGCCACACTGCCTTTCTGGCATTCCCTAGAACGAGTGAGGGTTCTTTGCATCTCCGTGAGTCTGATTATGCTATTCTCTCAGACCAGACCATCTGCTACATTCTACCTGATACAATTTAGTTTTATACACTTCACCCTCTGATTACTACAAAAGGCTGCCTTCCTGCTCTGCAGATGCCAGCGGAACCAACTCTTCTTCCTCTCTTCCCTTGTACTTAATATGTACTTCTTTTAAAGTTCTCCTTCTCTGCAGGCATCTCAGCAATTCTTTACGGCTTGCATTAAGACCTTTATTATGTTGTCTTGGCCCCAGTCTTTCTGGGGCCTTGTCTTTCCTCATGTTTTCCTTTAAGAACAAGCAAGTGGTCAGGAAATGTATTCTAATTGCTTTTCTCACTGGGACCTTCTTTAGTACTTTGCCGTTTATAGACCTCACTGGTGCTGTGGACCAACCGTGGGCATTCTAGTCCCTCCACGCTCTCCCCAACTGTTTCACCTTCTAACTCCCTTGACTACTATGCAATTTCCCCAGGCTCAGGCACTAGATTCTACAAAACAAACACAAAACAATTAAAACTGATTTTGTACAAGGTCAATACTGGATCTATAAATTATTTGCTATGTAGACAAGTATCCTACAAAGTGGGAATGATGACAGATACATCTTACAGAGTTGTTCTGAAGATGATATAACTAAAATATGCATTCAAACAGAACCCAGCACATATTGAATATGCTACCATTATAGTATTTGTTGCTCTGTTATATTAAGATGTTACTGATAAGCTCACAGAGAAGAATTGAGCACAGAGAAAATAGTTTAGTAAAGGGCATAGCATAATGATCAGTAAAGACTCACAAGTGAGCTGAGTTCAAGACATAGCTTGTCTTCACCTTAGAGGAGTGATTTACTTGGATACCTAACTTAGATATGTAACTTACACTCTCCCTGCCTCCGTTTACAATGTACACAATAGAGACAATGATTATTCCTACTTCACTGGATTGTTGTAAGAACTATAGTTAATGTGCATAAAGTGCCTAGAACTTTTAACAAATTAGCTAATTATTAATATTAACTTAGTTTGGAAGGCACTTCCACATTCAGGTCTTTGTGGAGATGTTTCATATAGATTGTTTCTCTTCAATCTTTCCGTTGTTCTTTAAATTCTACCCCATGTATTTTACATGGTACCTCCACCCGCTGCCACAGGAGGGGATTTTGTTGTCCTATCTTCTACTGTGTTGGAAACATTACGCTTCACTCAGATAGATTCTGGAAGAGAACGGCCTTCTCTGCATGAGCAACAATACTTTGATTCTCCCAATTCCATTTCCATTTACACCCCAGAGGCATCTATGGTGTGATGTTTACCATGGGTCACTGAAAAGGAAGCAAACCTTGAGAACCAAAACATGAAATATCTTTACAGTCAACCTGGCGAACTGTATCCTATGTTCAGCAAAGAGTAGTTTTACTATCCTCGGAGCAGCCCCTTCAAAATTGTTCAAAATCCTCAAAAACACTTTTTAATTAGATTTAAATTTGACATTTTTCTTTTCCTTTTTAGCATGTACAATAATCACTCACTAATTATGAAACAGTGTATTCTTTCTTTCAAGTGGAATGGAGCCACTGGATAGTAAACAAGAATGTTCTAGGATCTTCCTCAGAAGATTTAGGTAACAATATTGGCCAGTTCATTCTACCAATTTCATTTCTCCTTCATTTAGAGAGGAACATATCAGGTAAGCAAGAAGGCAGGTTACTGGTAAAGAAAAGAAGTTTGGATTAGATATAAACTTGTCCTTGTAGAGTACTCACAGACTTAAAATATTAAATTTGCTCTTTATAAAATACTCCTATTTAAACTCTTCTCATCTTCCCCCCAAGTTTTTAAATTAAAAGTTGAACACAAGGTGATTTTCAATATGCCACAGTTTGAGAATTGGCTATTGTGTATTTGTTGACAAACACTGCTTCATTTATTTACAAAACCAGTGTTAATGGCTAAACTTAAAAATATAATATATAGCTTATATCAAGTATCTTTTCCAAGAACATGATGTGCAAAGGGCAAATTATCCCAATTTGAACATGGTAACATCATAATATCAGTGATTATCATAATATTGGTATTGATTACTTTAACATACATAAAGGCATAATTCATGTATTGCACTCTACTGGTTAAGGCAATCAGTGATATTATGGAGAATGCTAAGATGTAGAGAGTTCTAAAATACTGGCCAGAATATTCTGATTATGCTAGTTTACTTTAGGTAATAGAGTCCAAATTACTTTTATTTGATATGACTTTATCTACGTCCTCTTAATCCCGAGACTGTCATGGATTTTATTATTAATTACAAACTATATCTTAATGACCACTAATATTTTCATAAATATGTTTGAGAAATACTGACAGACTTAGTTTTTTGCATTTCCATGGTGATGGATGCAAACATTTTAAAAATTGCTTCCCTGAATGCAAGATGAACAGAGCCTTGATAAAGTTTGTTTGTTATTTCCAAAAGTGTGTTCATAACATCACAGTGGGGTCATTAGGGAAAGCAGAAGAATGCCATAATAAACTTACTTTAATAAAGAAGAGAACTACAACTATTGAGAAGTTGCCTTTCTCGCTTTATTGTTGGAGAGAAAAATTATACACTTATTGCTGCTCATCTAATAAATATTTCAGACCCATTTATGAATAATTGGTGCAGATGCATTCTCATTGTCGTGTCATGAAGTGAAGTTAAGGAAAAATTAGACACATTTTAAGTTCTGAGTCTGTCCGCACCACATCGCTCGAATCCCTGTCTAGTCACACAATAGATTAACTACCCTCTGTGCATACTGTATTTTGCTCAGCCCTTCCTATTCTGAAGCTGGGCTGAAGCAGTGCCTATCTGTAGCAGTGTCTGGGTGATTTTTAAGCCCAGCACTACCCACCCAAGTGGCTGTGATACCGGCTTTCACTGAATTCTTATTACTCTTAAAAGAGCAATTTGGTTGGTTGCACGGCTATTAGGATCACACAGGCAGCCTGAAAGCTGTCAGTACAACTGCTTCTCATCTTTTCCACACAATCCTGACATCTTTTCTCTTTTCTGCTGGACACAGACTTTCCTGTTTTTATCATTTTCAATCAGACTCACCCAGCACGCTGAGGAATATATTCCCACTGAAAGCAGAGTGGAGAACAGAAATTATTTTATAGCTCCTGGAGTAGAAGCAGTGCTGACTGTACTGAAGAGCAGGAGCCGGATCTGTGAGAAATGTAGCTTGGCTCAGGGCTACACCGGGAGCTGCTGCTTCGGTGTTAAAGATGGCAAAACAACACCTACCTCAGGTTTTTCCATGATTAATGCTATTTTCATAACCGGGAGGGAAGAAGATGTGAGAAATTTTGTGAAATTTTCTTGTGGCAATGTTATCATCAGAGAAAGTGGGGAAAATCACTAGGCTTGAACTTCTCTTCATTTTGATGTTCTTCTTCTCGGGACCAACTCTGAGCAAGCTGGCCAGGACCCCCTGGAAGGGAAAAGCTTGGAAGGGGGGTAAGTGGTGAAAGTTTTGTGCTAAAGATCTGAATGGAGTTAGCAAGGCTAGTGAATGGTAACTTGAGGACAGCTAAGGGTAGAGATGCTGCTTCTGTTTGAAATCAGGTTTTTATTTCAGGAAGGAGATCTGTATTGTAGGTGGTTAGGAAGAAGAGTTTTCCTCTCTTACTGATATAAATATATGTTTGCAATTTTTGGTTTTCTGGGTTCTCAAAGCATTACAATGATTGTTTCCAGCAGGGACACTCTAGGGCCAGATGCATGCTGATCTGATGCGAGGATATGTATATTATCCTTAGGGAGCTGTGCTTTTAAAAAAAGAAATAGATTTCAAATATGTTAGATCCCTGAAGTGCTGGCAGATTTTGTGAAATGATCAGACGAATGTTTGAAAATGCACTTCTACCAACACTAATTTTTTGACTGATTCAATCGTGTGGGAATGTTAATAAAAATAAATTGTATCAACTTTATTGAAAAAAATCTGCTAAATGAGAAAAAGGCTTTCAGTGCTTTGGAGTGTTGTGGTCTATTTTCTGCATTTGTCAAAAATTATTATGAGATGAGGGAGAATTTTTGAGACTTTGAACCTACCTTTTTGTAAAGTTCAGATGGCTTTGCATCCTCTGAATGCCAGCTGTTTATATAAACACAGGTTATCAAGGTTTGTGTTCTGAGAATGCAGTAAGCCAAAATGATGCTGCAGAAATATTCCAGGAGAGACTTTCAGGATAGTACTTTTATATTTTAGGAAAAATCTTGATGGAAGACATCTGAGGAGGTTGCACTGCAGAAGCATTTTTTATACCTAATTTTTTTATCTTAGCTCTTTAAAAAATGTTTTACAGGTCTCTCTCCACCTTTGCTCTGCTGTCAGTGCTATCTGAGGTTAAGGAGAAGTATGAACATTAACAAGAAGTTTTAATAATTTATCACAGAATCTCAGTAGGATTTCTAAATATGCATGCCCTTTTAGTTTGATCTCTGTTTCTTCTTTTGTTGCACTGAAAATATCAGAAATCCTCTACCTACTGTACCTCCCAGGGAAAAGTTCCAACAGACACTTAGCCTCAATAGTTGGTAGTAGTAGAGCACATGACCTTGGGCCTTGCAAATTATATCACCACATTACTGTGCTGCCTGGTGTTATCAGTGGAATTTTTTCTTGCACAATGCTGTTATTTATGTGAGCCTGCATACAGGTTTTTGGTGGTTTGGATATAGAAATGTGTTATGACTTCAGGGGATGGCAGGAGTGTTAAATTATATTTCATATGTACATTTTTTTCAACGGTAATTGGTACTCATAGTATGTTAAAGTTGAACTTCCTGTGTTAAACTTGATCAGTAGCTCCAGCACACTAAATATCCAATGAGAAAGTTAAATAGCTGAAAGACTATGGAAAAGTTGTGAAACTAGTCAGAAAGATTTGTTTAAGAATGCTTGTGTGGTTCTAGCCATTTATGCATTCCACACAGCTCTAGATACAGATGCACTGGATTTCATTTGTAAATCAGGTCTGAAATGTTTCATCTTTGAACATATCACTACTTTTTTCCAATGTGCTTTAACTAGCTCAGCTCGAAATTTGCTAGCTCTGCTGTACGATGATGATATGACTCAGTCAAGTTCAGGAATAGGCAATCATAGCAACACATTTCATTTATTGTTAAAAGAGACTAGGGTGTTTTGGAAAGGTCAGAGAAGTTACTGGAAAACTTTAAATGTGTTGACTACACTTTAAAATTATTTCCTTTTTAGTGCTTCAGTTTATCACTGTATATGCATTGCATAAATATGTTGCACAGACTCTGAGCTCTTGCAACGTAGCCTTGCCTTGATATGCATATGTACATGTTGTAAATATTTATTTATTCATGAGCTTGGGTGTTGATGATGGTGTGTTATCTTTCAGTGGTTGTAAATTCTGTTACTTTTCTTGTGGCATATTATGTAGTCTTTGAAAGCATATTTTGACAATTTTTCCCTATATGATTTTCCTTTTCAGAAAGCAGAGGTCTTTTTCATTTTCTAAGGTACTTGGCAGGGATGTGATGTGTATGTATAGAAAATATGTATGGGGTAGTTGGGGGAAGCAATAATCTGCTTAAATTAAACAGTAGGGCCAGAGGAAATGAGGATCAAAGCTTAAAATACAAAATGTTGAAGGTTATTTAACTTTTTTGTGATTTGCTTCCTAACAATACTATCTACAGCTTAAATATTTATAGAACAATCTCTGAAATTGATGCATCATTTCTAAAATGCTTGGAAAAATAAAAACATGAAAGCAACAGAGTTTTCTTCTGAAATGATTTTATTTTTTTGCATGCACATTGCCTACATGCATTTGTCTTAATCTGATTGAGCAGCTGTCAACCTCCCTATGGCAACCTGCCCACACCGACCATTTCCATTTTGGTTGTATTAACGGGAATTATCATTCGGAAAGGAGTTGCTGGGCAGGGTTCAGGGGTGGTGGCAACACGAACAGTGTATAGCTATGGCCTGTAAGCAATGCTACACACAGCACATCGCCTGGGAGCACAAAACAGATGTCTGTAAACTGACTCCAAGCTGACATTTGGAAAGAATTCTGATTATTGTTGGCTTCCAAGGCACTTTTAAGCCTATCAATGAGTATGATTTGCAAATATAGGTTAGTAGGCCAGCAAGTTTTCCCTGAGGCACACACTTTTCCATGTAATCACAATACATAAATTCCTTAAGGGAAAACGGGTGTCTCATCTGATTAGCTCAGAGCATAATATAAGTGATCATAAGAGTATGCATTCATGATAAACTAACTGGAAATCCTAACTACACTGCTGACATCATCTTCATTAAAATTGAAGAACCTAATTATTTTACATTCAATTACCCTCACTGATAAAAGAAAAAGACTAAAAGATGTGAAGTGTTTCATTCTAAGAAGCATAATGTGTGGAAAGTTTATGTTGGAGAATATGTATATGTATGTCTCACAAAAACAGGTTATGTATAAAGTATATATAATGTGGAGTATGCTTATTTAAGTATATATGATAACATATTTGTACTAAAGGGCATAAATTTAAGCCAAGTTTTAATATGTCCAGCTACTAATGAAGTAAATGAGAGATAAATTAGTGTAAATGGAGATGTAGGCCTTAAATAAGTACGTGAATCAGAATAATGCCAAAGGCTACCTAGTCCAACATGAACACTGGTCAATTAGAGTAACTACAGATCAAACTAAGAGAGGATACTCCTCACTGTTTTTATGTCCCACCCGACCACCCAATCAATTAACCATGGCTCTATTTATACCTCCTGAAAGAGCCTGTAAGTTCACACACCAGTTGAAGTCTCAATATAAGAGTTAAACTATGGCAACAGTGAGAGAAGTTATCACATCTGAATGATGCAGATGACTCTCTCACAAATGCCCTACTGGCTTTTATAAATTATGGTAATGGGTTGTCCTTGTCTATCTGTGCTAAGCAAAAACAAAAGCAAAATCAAACACACACAAAAAAACAAAAATCCCTCTCTGGCAGTTATTTTTCTCCTTTATGAATGATGAGACTGCATTATGACAACATGGCATGGCCTTGAATCATTTCAGTTCAGGTGCACAGGAGGTATTCAGACTGTCATTATCTACATGGTTCCATCTAATATTTTATTTTATTTTATTTTATTATTATTTTTTTTTTTTGGTTTTTCTCCGGTACCGGGAACCGAACTCACGACCTTGCGCTTGCCAGGCAGGCGCTTTGCCGCTGAGCTAAATTCCCAGCCCCCCATCTAATATTTTAGCAATTAGTCGAACATTTCTTGAGGTTTCCTGAAGTTTTTTGGCAGTAAAATTAAATATTATTAACATTTGATGGTGTTTTTTACTTATGATGTCAGTATTATTTTATTGCTTCTGACCTTTTCCTTAATTACATGAACTACTGAAAATTTTACTTGTTTCGGTAAGTACCCCACATAGTCTAATATCTCACATAACTTATGAATGTGTAATAAATCATTATTTTTACTAATACAATTTGAACATTTTTACTGATAATTTGTTCTTTTACATATACTGAAATCACTTGACATGCTGGTTGGGAGAAATATTACTGAATCACATTGTCTTTGACTTTTATTCCTGAAATATGCTTTCAGCACTACATTAGTACTGGCCTTCATATCAAATGTCCCAGGACTGCACCATGAAAATAATATTTTAGCTTTAAAATGACTATGACATTTGACATTTGAGAATAAAGAATTTTGTAGTGCTTTCTTTTTATGTGTGTATCCCTTGTTTATCACTTTGTAAGTTATTTGAAGAGATTTTTGTCTTTGATTGGGTGCATTTTTGCACCTAATAGATGGTCATTATTTGTTGAATGAACAAAGTACAGTATATAAAAACTTGATAATAAATATTCTAACTTTTTGTGTTATCCATTTGTCACTTTCAAACTCTATATCTTACCTCCAAATTATTGGAAAATTGTTTTTATGATAAACTTTTATAATATCATTTTCATTCCAGATTTAATTATGTGAACATATTTATAGTAACTATAAAATTTGGAAAACTCGATTAGACTCATGTAGAAAGTAGTGCAGTTAGAAAAAAAGCAATGGTGTTGTTCAAAAGTAATTTATAACATGAGACTGTGGAACTGGAAACCGAACTTTGTGAATATTCATGAAAAATGTAGAGTGTTCTTTGTACTATGTATAATCATCATTTCTGTTTTTCATTTGTTTAAATAATGTAACCTCCATCTGTATGTAATAAATAGATTTAATACTTTCTCTTTCCTATAACTGAGGAGGAAATTCCAAAACCAGGTCTGAAATGATATTGTTTTTTCTATGTATTCAAAATTTCATTAAAGTATTTTTAATAGAGGAGCATGCTTAACAAATATACCAAGATCTGTTGTAAAATTAGTTTATCTTGTCCAGTGTTATTTGCCAAATAACATTTGGATAAATTCAATAAAAT